TTTATTTATTTCAAGATAAAGAATAAATTATATAAATCACTGTTTTTAATTTTAAATAAGTAATTAACATTAGAAAGAAGAGAAACTATTTGTTCATTTGAAAATATAAGAAATGTCTCCATCATTAAAATATTAAAACATCATTACTCTCATAGTCTCAATATGTTTTTTGGTTGAATATAATGATTTATTATGTATCACTGAGATTGTATTTTATCAATAAATTCAATCAATTCTTTATTTTATTTTTATTTTGTTATTCAAACAAAAAATAAACTATTTTTATAAAATAGAATAAAAAAACAAGTTGAATTATGAGTATCACATCTTATCAGAATAATGATTTAATATCAACTACAAATAATAAACTCTGTATAAATATATTATTGTGTTATACTTAAATAATAAATAAAAGGTAATATATTCTAAAAAATGAAATGGATAAAAATATGTATCAATTTCAATTTCATATATCAATTTCAGCATCAAATAACTAAATAATAAAATATAAAATAAATGAATATATAAATAGATAAAAGTACTAAGAAAATATAATTAAAATGAACAATAAGTAACATAAATATGAATGTAAGATAATGCAAATAAAAAATATGAATAAATAAAAAAAAATACACAAATTTAAGAAAAAGAAAAAAGAATAGTAAAATATTTCTATACTATAGAATTTGTTATTTTCAATAAAATGAAAATCTTAAAAAATAAGAAAAGCAAAAAAGAAATTAAAATTATAGAGTTAAAAATAGAAATAAAAAATGTTATGGATAATATAAATATAGAAAAAAAATAACAAAAAATAAAATTAAAAATAAAATCGAATTATTTTTTGTTATAAAAAGAAAAAAGAAGTGTTTTGAGTTTCTTTCATTCCATGAGTTTATTTCACCTATATGCTCTTCATAATTATTTATCACTTAAATATAGTCATTTGAGCTCTGATATTTCTTTGTAAAATCCATTTCAAATATGAGTTATCCTATATATTTAATACCTTCTTTCTTCTTTAATTTCTGTTTATCATATTCTCTAAATTATATTTCTTTTATATTTTTTTTAAGCTCTGTAATACCTTTTCATTCACTATTTCATTTTTATATATATATCTTTTATATTAATCTTTCATTTTCTTATTCTTATATTTATTTTCATATAATATTCACAATCATTATAACTTTGATTAGATTGTGGGCCTTACTCATCAAAGGACTAATCATCCTTTGAACAACAGGATTTAATAAAGTTAAAATAAAAATATTTAGTCAATTACATTATGAGAAAACTCCCATTTCTTTTTCCTGTCAGCTATTTCTAGTTCTGCGTCTTCTAATGCACGACGGGTAAGTGGGTCTTGTTTAAACTGAGAAGCAGTCATGCCACTAATAGAGGTTAAACCTAATTGACTTGAAAGAGCATTCAATTCACTGACCAATACCATAGATAATTCAAGAGTCCATGCTTTTGTTTTAACCATATTAAAAGCATTCATAAAACTCATTTTATTATTTTGAATCAAATAGGCAATTAATAAGGCAGGTGCTCTATTTTTTCCATCAAATGAATGAATAAGAACTTTTTCTCCCTTAGAATGGGCTAAGTTGATAAGAGCACATGCCTCTTTTACGAAAGGATTAATTGTGTTATGGTATTTACTAATTGGCAGTCTATAATATTCTCTTCCTTCTTCTTCTTCATTACTACACTCACAAGTACAATTAATAATTACATTAATACATTCACTGTCTAACCACGCCTGGTTATTACTACTTTCAACTGAACCTATATAAATGTCTTTAGTAATAGAACAACCAATCCCAAAAGCTCTTTGCTTTTGTTCTTTGATTTTTTTAAATTCAATCAATCGCTGATATGAATCAATTTTCTTTTCTTCTACTTCCATTTTATTCTTTTCTTTTTGTAATTCAATTCTCATTCTTTCTCGTTCTTTTTGTTTAAATAATTTAAATTCTCTCTCTTGTTTTTCCTTAATCTCTTGTCCGACACTTTTATCTCCATCTTTCTTAGGTTTAATAACTATGAATTGAGTGATTGGTCGTTGCATTTTAGTTTGTTTTTAAGTTCTATTTTTATTTTCAATTTTAATGAGTTATATTTATTAAGTTAAAAAATAAAGAACTTGGAAAGTATTGAATTAAATTGAGGCAATAGTTTTAGTCACAAGCAAGATTTTTAACATACTCAATTACTTCTTTCTTTAACAACATTCCTTGATGAGTATATTTACCTAAATTAGTAAAGTTTTCTGTCATCTTTTTACAATATTCTAAACTATTCAAAGTAA